GGGCGGGGCTTCCCCAGGGGAAGTTTCTCACCACCTCCTCCCTGAGGGCTCCCATGCCCCCCACACCCCTAAGTCTTTTCTACAGTAACCCCCTGAGGTTTTTTTTTCAAATAGGGAGGGAGGGAGGGAGAGAGAGAGAGAGGGAGAGAGGGATAGAGAGCCCGAAACATCAATGAGAGAGAGACATAGATCAGCTGCCTCCTGCACACCCTGTACTGGGGATGGGCCCGCAACCAAGGTACATGCCCTTGACCGGAATCAAACCTGAAACCCTTCAGTCCGCAGGCCAATGCTCCATCCACTGAGCCAAACCGGTCAGGGGGCGGCAAATGTTTTTATAGTCATCTTTTGTTGGTAAAACTGATCTTTGCTTCTGGAATATATTAATAACAGAGTCATGATTGAGATGTTTTTGAACTATCTCTAGGGAATCATGTAACCTTTTACCTATAATATGAATTCACATGATATTTTATACTAATATTAACAGACTAGTGGCCCAGTGCATGAAATTTGTGCATGGGGGAGGGGGTGTTCCTCAACCCTCTCCAATCTGGGACCCCTCGAAGGATGTCCTACTGCCAGTTTACAAGGATCGGGCCTAAACTGGCAGTCGGACATCCCTCCCGCAATCCGGGCCGGCTGGTGGTTGCCCCTAACTGCCCTTCCCTACAGGCCCGGTCGCCCCTGACTGCCCTCCCTGCCACCCTGATCACCCACAACTGCCCTCCCCTCTTGGCCTCTAACCGCCTCTACCTCGGTTCCGCTACCATGGCTTTCTCCAGAAGAACATCTGGAAGGTCTCCTAGAAGGTCTCCCAGTCTAATTAGCATATTGCCCTTTTATTAGTATAGAGGCCTGGTGCACAGGTGGGGGCAGGCTGGTTTACCCTGAAGGGTGTCCCGGATCAGGGTGGGGGTTCCCTTGGGGCATTGGGCAGCCTGGACGAGGGACCTGTGGTGGTTTGCAGGCTGGCCATGCTGCAATGGGGTGAGGGTCCCCGCTGGGAGGGCATGGCCAGCCTGGGTGAGGGGCTGATGGCTGTTTGCAGGCTGGCCACACCCCCTTCAGGGTGGAGGTCCCTGCTGGGGTGCCTGGCCAGCCTGGGTGAGGGACTGATGGGTGTTTGCAAACTGGCCAAGCCCCCCAGCAGGGACCCTCATCCCATGAGGTTGTGGCCAGCGTGGGGG